ATTGTAAAATTTAAACAACAATATTCTTTATTATAATTATTTGTATTAATGATTATAAAAACCATCTCATCAAGTTAATACATTTTATCCTATGGATATATTTTATTTTATAATTATATAATATTATAATATGGTAYGTTTGGTTCTTAAAACGTACCGCCTATCGCCTATATGRTCATATGTTAATACTCAGTATACTTATGATATTACATTGCTGAATAATATTTCATTTATTTTATTAATAAAGTAGTAAAAACGACCAGGGCAAACAACTTATTCTCGCAGATAACTTGTATGATAATTGTATCACGGTATTATAATAAAAAACGCAACCTCAAAAATTGAATGTATAAACCTGTTGTACGGATTTTCGAACGGACCCGAAATAATTTTCATACGACAATAATTATATACCTTCGAATATTTAAAGCTCTATTTAACAGTCCTCCATAAAAAAAATCATTCTCTCACACTTATATTATACGACTGTGTTTCTGTGCACCTTATTTATGTCATATATTAGTTATTGAAGAATAAAACTGTAATTATTTACCCATAGCCCGCTCCGTTGTTTCCGTACAGCTCCAAGTTAAGATCGAAGAAACTTTCGCTCCTGCTGCAATCTACTTCGTCCAAACGTTCGCATACTCGAGTCTCCTGATCGAATACCGTYCCGTTTAGACATAGGAATTTGATATCGGTGATTTCCGCTAGAATAACAAACAAACAAAAAAAAGGTATAAAAATCAAATTCAAGAGCGTGTTAAACGTATTAAAACATTAGATATTATTACGATTGGATTTAGTATACCTAAAGTATATATTAGTATATTATTATTTGCATTTTTTTCGTATAAAATTATATTAAACGTTTAAGGTTTTACTCATACAGTCATAACTCATAAATAATGTGTGGAAATTCYGTTCATTTAGTGACATTGAATAATATTAGTAACTTAAAACATAAGACCCGTTTAAATTAAATAGTAATGAAATGATGAGTGTTTTTTTATTTAATTCAAATGTTTCAAATCATTTCTAAATGTTATTTTAAAAATGAAACAAACCATTTTGTGTKGTTTTGTATTTATATTTTATCAACAAAATTAAGTTTTCTACTTAGTACAAAATCAAAATGTCATAAAAGTAACTTTATTATTAATTAATTATTGTTATTTATTATTTATTACTTTATTATTAATTTATTAACTTAATTAATGATTGCAGTGTAAGGTTTCTCTAAAATAGTACTCAGCTATTTGGAAAATTGATTGTGTTTGACGACCAACTTTTATAATAAAAATACATAGGTGACCAATATGTGTSGATATTTCTTGTAAAATTTGAAAACAGATGTAAAATAATTTTAATGGGTCAAATGGTCAACTTTAAAATAAATACACTGTGGAAACTTTACTATGGAACTGATACAAAGAAACCTAATTTTTTCATCAATATTTTAGATAGATAATGTATTATGAATTCATAATTTTTTTTACATTAACAGCCATAATTTTATTTTTATCTTTATAAACTATCGTGCGTCTAGTCTTACGTGTATTTTTCAAATAAGTTTTAAAATAACTCCCCCAAATTGTGGTTTTTGGCYGAAAAAAACTATTTTATCTATTATTTTGAGCAAGKAAATACTAATTAATAGTTATAATATTGTATATTTACGTATGTGTTGGAATTTGCAGGAATTCTGAAAATTCGAAATCGGTGAAATCGGTGATAATCACGTCTTAATTGACTATAGTTTATACTTTATAATAATAATATGGATCCTGGGATATTAGGACGCAATTAAAAATTATAATGACAGCGCATGCCGTTAATGTTTATGTAGGAACTCAAATCCAGTGTGTATATTAATGTTACATAGGTATCAGGTGTTGTGTTATGACCGAAAAGGTGATTTTTTCACCTTGCATATAATACACACACACAGTTATTGTGTGCAAGCCATATTTTATTGAACTTATATTGTTTAGTATATAACATTACTATCGACGTAATACAATAGTATCGTAGATAACTACCTAGTTCAAACAGTACTTAAACTGGTCAATACGTTCGGCTGCAACCAGCTATTATAATATTATATTATGGGTATGAACATATAGGTAATATTATAATACACATTACCTACGTCTCGGCCGACTTATTTAGTATTGAAAACGTGTTATTTTTATCGCTCGTGCCAATCGTATGTTATAATATTGTGCTGCAGCATTCGCGGTTTACATAAAATAATAATAATAATAATATTATACGATTGGGTTGGAAGTAATAAGAAACTAATATACGAAGATTGTTCGACAATAATACGATATCCCYGGGATGTTATTTCCATTTAATTTTTTTTTCTGATGATGATAATAGTGTAATAGTGTATTGTGTAGGTTTTATACACACTATCTAGGTGGTAACCGAATACTTAAAGGCTAAAAACAATACGTGCATGGATTACGAGAGAGTATTAACTTACTTACGAGTAGGCAGTCGAGTTATAATAAAAATCATAACATCGAAAAATATGGTTATCTAGTAGGTATCTTGGATTACAAAACGCATTGTACGAGCAGTTAACGATAAAATAATAAATTGCGAAATGAAAGTCGTATCTCGTCTATGAAATATTGTGTACGATACGCCAAAAATTTAAAATCCCTGCAAGGTTATTATTTTCTAAATTACCGAAATATTTTCTAAGTGATTCGCTGTATAGTTTTTAAAATTTATTTTAAATATGCTCCTGAATATTGCTAAGAAATATTATCTGGTAAAAAAAGTTCTAACCTACTGAACCACTGTGTCTGATTTACAATCGATATAGATATCTATGTATATCGTATAGTTATTAGAGAGATGAGTTATATAATACAAATCTCATTTAGGTAATTTAACTTTTCATTTAAATATTAGCTCTTAATCATCATAACTACGACAGTTGAAGTTCAAATGTAGAAATCACAAAATACTTTCTGTTGGTTAAAATTTGTACGATTCTATAAATATTGGAAAGTAAAATAATATAGTATTATATTAATTTAATATTTTAAGATTTACGATTTTTAGGGTTTTATTTCTTACACATATTATACATAATATATTATATTAATTTTTAATGAGAAAGTGATGTTGATAACAACCGAAACATAATAAATAATTCATAATAACAAATATTACAGGGATGTGATCTATAGTTTAAGAACAATAAATTAATGAAAAATATAGATTTAATAATATTGTAAAAATATAGATGCTGGAAAGTTATTATATTCAAAACTATATTAACAAATGCTGTAAATATAACCTAACCAACCATAATTAATTTTGACTATTCATTAAACTTCAATATTTTGTACTTAATATATAAATTATTTTTTTTTAGTGTATAGGCATAACTAGTTAGGTAATACTATATAAATAATATAAACTGTGAACAGAGTACCTACCTATAACCTATATGCACCTACTATTCAGAATAATAATTTTTGACTCACAGCATGATGGAAAAGTCAATCCTAAACAGTTATTTATTTATTTACATCAAGTATCTAGCAATTATTATACTTACGATTGGTAAATTAAGAATCTAAAAACATTTTCAGGTATAATTATTATTTGGAAGATGGCATTCTATACCATTTTAAAATGTGTAAATGTGCTATAAAGTAATAAATTA